CAATAACCCGTGTAACTCACAAATTCTTAGCTGCATTCAAAGCACCATCTTAAATCTATGTATTCAAATTTGGGGATGGGGGTGGGAATCTAAGGTGGATGGGAAGAAGTTGATGTGTGGGAAAAGGAGCTTAAAGCAAGAGTCATGTGAACAAAATACCCAAACAAAAGGAATAATCCCCAATACACTGGGCGTTCTCCAGGAAATTGTAATCATACCCCCTAGAGGAAAAAGTGCTCATAAATAAAGTTTGAGTTCAAAGAAGGGATAATAAGACAACAGAAGATGAAAAGACAACTGGAACAGTGAGGGGGGAAAAAAACAAAAACTTTTTAACTAAGAAAAATGTAAAGTAGTAGACTTAAAAGTTACACAAAGAGCAACAAAAATAATGAAAGAAAATGAGAGCACAGATGCATGGTAGTCTGTAATGATCTTCTAAATGATATGGAAAATGACTGTGTTGGATATGGAAGACAAACCAAGGAGATTAAACAAAAGTATAATTGGTATTTGTGAGAAGAACTAACAAATGGGGCAGGGGAAAAAAAAATACCCAGAGATAAAATAATAGAACCAACTTCCTTGAATTAAAGGTTAATTTGTAAGTCATAATGACACACTATCAAGAAAATATGACCCACTAAGATACATTCTGGAGTCCTGGTGTGGTGCTGTGGTTTTATGTGCCAGACTGCAAAAGCCGTTTGAACTGCATAGTCGGTGGTTCAAGCTCACCAGTCACTCCTCGGAAACCCTATACAGCATTGCTATGGGTCAGAACCGACTCGATGGCACTTAACAACAAGATACATTATTTCTTTAGCTGTGAAATCCGACACCAGCTTAAGGTGTTGAACTTCATGGATAAAGTAAGAAACCACGGACCTCTGAACAGAAAAGGCAATCAAATAAAGAACAAACAGACAACAAATTCCCGTTGGCCTCAGCTATCTCCCAATAGCACTCAGTGCAAGAAAACAACAGAGCAGGGTTTACACACAACTAGGGAAAGAATTTTCCTTTCAGCCACCATGTTTGTCACTTAGAAAGGCAACAGAGAAGCACTCAGACAATAAACCAAAATCCAAGCCTATTGCAGTTGAATCGCTTCTGACTCACGGAGACAGACTGTTACAAAGTAAAACTACTCGTAGGGTTTCCTCTTCTATAACCATTTTTGGAAGCAGATAGAAGCCCTGGTGGTGCTGTAAGGTAAACTAACCACAAGTGGTTAGGTGGTTCAAACCCACCAGCCTCCCTGTGGGAGAAAGATGAAGCTTTCTGCTCCCATTAAGACTTGTTGTTGTTGTTATTGTTGTTAAGTGCCATCGAGTCGGTTCCGACCCATAGCGACCCTGTACAGGGTTTCCGAGGGTGTAAATCTTTATGGGAGTAGAAAGCCTCATCTTTCTCCCGCGGAGCGGCTGGTAGTTTCGAACCGCTGACCTTACGGTTCGCAGCCCGATTCGTAACCACTACGCTACCTTGGAAACCCCATACAGGGTCTCTCAATGGGCTCGGTTTTTATGGAAGCAGACAGTGAGACCTGTCATTCATGATGTCACAAGGGGAGTTTGAACCACCAAGCTTACTTGAAAACCAGTAGGACCAACATCAGACAACCAAGGTGACCCAAAATTAGAAATTGAGGAGTGGACAGAACCAAGTAGTAGCCTTTGTTCAGGAGAAAGATGAGGGCTGCGAATCACAAGGTCGGCAATTCAAACCCACCAGCTTAGCTTCTCCTTGGAAACCCTATACAGGATGGCTATGAGTCAGAACCAACTCGATACACTTAACAACAACAAAGTAGTAAAAAGAAGGATGATGAGTAATGAGTTCATTTAATTATAGAATTAAGACTAATCAACTGTAGCAGCTACAGCATTTCAGAATGGAAGGTAAATACCAGACATCTTGACATTATCTAAATAACATAATGAAAGCTATATGGAAATTTGGAGAAGGAGGGGGAGGGAATGCAAATATGTTATTTATCTTTCTTAGCAGGAGGTCAGCAGAGACTCTCTTAAATCCAAATATGTCATTAAAATAACTATCTGAATTTCTTAGTGGTTTATTTCATCTTCCTTCTTAACTTTAGAGGACTCTTTGGGGAATTTATCACTTAAACCAGGAACAAAATTCAAAACTTCAGCATATCCTTTCATTTCACTTCAGTTTCTTTCTTTGCTTTTTTCTATTATGCCTAATAAAATTGCACTAAATTTTTTAATTACAATTTCATGTGCCTATAATGGTTCCAAAGAGAGGTGACCCAATGGAATGTGGAAATCATTGGACAATATCTTTGATATCCTATGCAAGTAAAGCTTTACTAAAGGTAATACAGAAACGGCTACAATCGTACATTGAAAGAGAACTTCCAGAGGTTCAAGCTGTATTCAGAAGAGGACGTGGAAAGAGGGTTATCATTGCTGATGTCCGATGGATCTTGGCTGAAAGCAGAGAAATCAGAAAGATGTTTACCTGTGTGGTTTATTGACTCCGCAAAGGCTTTCGATTGTGTGGATCATGACAAACTATGGACAACATTGCAAAGTATGAGTATTCTGGAACACTTAATTGTGCTCATAAAGAATCTGTACATGGACCAAGAGGCAATTGTTCGAACAGAACATGGGAACACTGACTGGTTTAACTTTAAGAACGGTGTGTGACAGGGTTGTATTCTTTCACCATATGTATTCAACCTGTATGCTGAGGAAATAATCCTGGGTTCTATGAAGAAAAATGTGGCATTAGGATTGGAACAAGACTCGTTAACAACCTGTGATATGCAGATGATACAACCTTGCTTGCTGAAAGTGAAGAGGACTTAAAACATTTACTGATGAAGATCAAAGAGCATAGCCTTTGGTATGGATTACATCTCAATGTCAAGAGAACAAAAATCCTCACCACTGGACCAGTAAGCAATATTCTTATCAACAGAGAAAAGATTGAAGTTGTCAAGGACTTCATTCTTCTTGGATCAACTATCAACACCCACGGAAGCAGCAGTCAAGAAATCAAAGGACATATTGCATTAGGCAAATCTGCTGCACAAAACCTTTTTAAAGTGTTAAAGAGCAAAGATGTCAGCTTGAGGACTAAGGTGCACCTGACCCAAGCCATGGTATTTTCAATAACCTCATATGCACATGAAAGCTGGACAGTGAATAAGGAAGACCATAGAATAATTGATGCTTTGGGTCCTGCTACTGACCATGTTGGTCACCGATTCGAGGAAATGGGGGAAAACAGCAATTAAGTTGTGAACTAAGTCTGACCACATTCACTAAACTCCTGTTAACCTGGATTGAGACCTGGTTAATCAGCAGTATGATGAGACCTGGAGACTCCTGGGCCCAGGGGCAGGGACATGGCCCCAGAGGACTAGAACGGAGTGTGAAGCATCTAGCTGATATGAAGTGAGGGGAGATACACAAGAACACCCATACTTGCAGACAGTACCCATTTGACCTGGCATCAATGGCTGGATGATCAGAACACAACTAGAGGAAGAAAGAAGAGGGGGGGAAAAAATAGTAACACACTACAAGTGGATGAACTTAACCTATGCTTGTGGATGCAGTGTGACAAAGAAGTGGACAAATCTTTATAGCGAGGATCATTCCCACACCCTTGGTTCACAGGGTTGACAGGGATGGGGAACCTAGACATTGGCTACCCAAAATGGGGGGACTACAAAGGCAAGAAGTGACTGGGTTACAAGCTTTCAATAGGGAACGTAGTTCCAGAGGATACAGGGAAAGGTAGAAGCTCCACTGAATTTTTCCAGCCTGTCTGGATAGGGTTGATAAAAGGTGAGGGGGGATGGATTCCTGTGGTTCAGTAGGGAATGATTGCTATCAGGTCTCACAGTGAGTGTTGGAAAGGTAAATGTAAATGCTTGAAAACAAAAGGAGGGAGTGGCTGATACTGCAGTCCAGAAGCACAGATCCCTGGAACCATCAAGGGAGAAGAGCGAAGTGCATGTAAGACCCTGTTCGGGGAAGCAGTGACACTAGCGATGGATGCAGAGATTATGGACAGAAGGAGCGGCTGGGGACTCTGGACTCTGGGAGGGAGAGGGGCTGTGTGCTGGCGGCCAGGGCGCAGGCGTGTGGTGTGTACCCTTTAGTTGTTTGATGATGCATGCAGGGGAGTGTGCTCATTGCAATGAAATAATATAGGATAGGATGAATGTAAAGATAATGTTCACCCATGTAAACTAACACATAATTCACAATAAAAACTTAAAAATTTTTTTTGATGCTTTTGCATTATGGTGTTGGAGGAGAATATTGAAAGTGCTGTGGGCTGCCAAAAGAACCAACAGATCTGTGTTGAAAGAAGTGTAGCCAGAGTGCTCCTTGGAGGCCAGGATGGCCAAACTCCCAATCTCATACTTCAGAAGACATTGTCAGGAGGGACCAGTCGCTGGAGAAGGATATCATGTTTGGTAAGGTGGAAGGTCAGAGAAAAAGAGGAAGACCCCCCAGTGAGATGGATTGGCAATATGGCAGCATCAATGGGCTCAAGCGTGGCAACAATAGTGAGGTTGGCCCAGGACCAGGCAGTGTTTCAGACTCGATGGCACCTAACAACAATAACAACAATGGTTCTTAAATGTAAAGCAGTCTGGATGATTATTTTTTTAGATTTCAGTTTTATACTTTTTTATTCCCATACATTTTTGGTAATGGATAAGTTGCATTTTGTTTTGTTAAGGAAAATCACTTTACTATGTAAATAAATAGCTGAAAAAAAAATGAGATTTGAATGACAGTACCCGAAAGAAAAGACAACAACAATTAATAAATCGTCAGAAAGGAAAGAGTGAGAGAAACTATCTCCTAAGAGATGTTCAAATATAGGCATTGGCTTCCTTATTGTTGTCCCTCAGTTCACCATCTGAGATTTTGCTGTTGTTGGCCAGAATGTATTCTGTTTGTGCTCCATTTGACTCTGTTGCACAATTCTCCTTGCAGTGTTCTGTCAGCTGTGGCGTGGGAATCCAGAGAAGAAAGCAGGTGTGTCAAAGGCTGACAGCCAAGGGTCAGCGCATTCCTCTCAACGAGGTGATGTGCAGGAATCTCCCAGGGCCCCCTCTTGTGAGATCTTGCCAGATGCCTGCATGCAGCAGTAAGTATGTTGTGCTTGGGCTTCACCAATTGTGCTGATTTAACCTATTTTGTCCCAATATCAACATTTTTATTCCCATATATGAAACCTGTGAAAATTGGAACCTGTGTAAGGCAGAAACCTGTCAGAGAAAGACAACTCCAGCGCTTCCCACTGAAACAAATGGCAGACAAGTGCTAACACTGCACGTGTCAGACGTAGAAAACGTGAGAGACCCAGAGAAGTGAGTTAGAATGGACTGGTGCCAGAACCACCAATTCAAGAGAGATGGTGTCACATTCATTGTCAAAAAAGGCATTTTATTGAATGTAAAACTGATGATCTGCCCTACAAACTTTCACTCAATCCACAATAAAAACTTTTAAAAAAAAAATTATTCACAGCGGAAAAAAAAAGAGAGCATTTTAAGATCTATTTTGAAAAACAATACTGTTTGTGATAGAATAATATCTGTACTCCTACGAGGAAGACTAGATAATATCACAATTATTCACACCAATGCACCAACCACGAGAGCCAGTGATGATGAAATTCAAGAATTCTACCAACTTCTTCAGTCAGAATTTTATCAAACACGCAATCAAGATGTATTGGTAATTACTGGCGATTGGCAACAAAGAGGAAGGATCTGTAGTTGGAAAATAAGATATTGGTGATCGAAATGATGCTGGAGATTGCATAATAGAATTTTGCAAAACTAATCACTCATTCATTGCAAATACCTTTCTTCAACAATGTAAGGTGACTAGACACCCGATTGAATACATGGAAATCAAATTGGCTACATCTGTAGGAAGAGAGGGTGGAGAAGCTCCACATCATCAGTAAAACAAGGTCAGGAACCTGACTGTGGAACAGACCATCAATTGCTCATATGCAAATTCAGGCTGAAGCTGCCTGCACATCCTATCTGTAGACTTGAGTAGAGCCTAGATTTTTTTTAAACAGCAAATAGTACAATGTTGAAGACCAAGATATAGTTCTACAAAAAGTCCATTTTAAGAAATGTCTCCCAGTTAACAAATGCATCTGTTAGGTCTCCTCACTTGGACTTATATTTCCTTATATCCTCCACTTTACCATGATTTCTTGCATTTAGAATTTATGAGGTTACTTTTCGAAATTGAAATACCTCTTAGTGTAATTTGCTTGTAATAGATTTGGATTCATTCTATTAAAAGTAGAAGTGTTCTATGGAAGAAAACCCCAAACACTTAGTGGTCAGAAACAGATTGGGGGAGCCCAGAGACTATGTGGCTCTTAGTCACCCTTCAGGTCTGGAACTGATCTCATCCTCTTGGTTCCGTTTTCAGCCAAGCAGTTGTTGTTGTTGTTAAGTGCCGTCGAGTCAGTTCCGGCCCATAACGACCCTGTCTAGGGTTTCCAAGGAGCAGCTGGTGAGCTTGACCCGCCGACCTTGCAGTTCAAACGGTTTTGCAGTCTGACACATTAACCCCCAGCGCCATGGAAGCCAACAACACTAATGTGATAAGCACACAACATCAACAGCTAAAGAGGATGGCACTGTAGAAGTACTGGACCACAAGGTTAGTTTGAACTGCAAGGTCAGCAGTTCAAATTCACTAGCCACTCCTCAGAAACCCTATGCGGGGTTGCTATGAGTCGGAACCGACTCGACAGCCCTAAACAACAAAGAAAGTGGGTAGTTCTGGTGCGGCACTGTAGGATAAGCACTGGACCGATAATCACAAGGTCAGAGGTTCAAACCCACCAACCACTCCTTGGAAACCCTATACAGGGTCACTGTGGGTTGTACTTATACCTAATGTCACTTAGAAGGACACACTTTGTACAAGTGTCTTGGCCTCTAAGGAGCAGCATTTACCTAAGGACAAAAAGTCCAAAGGGATGGAAACAAGGACCCCAGGGAGGACATGGGATAAGTGATGTTACATTGAGAGGGCTGCAATCAGTGACATCAAACAAAGTGTTTTATTTATTGAGTGTAAAACTGATGGTCTGTTCTGTAAACCTTCACTCAATAAAAAGAGATAAAGTGGGGAAAAAATAGAAGGGCTAAGCATTTCAAATTTTCCCGGTATTGTTTCTTGATAAAGTGAAACCAACAGAGATGCCAGTGTGATTTGGTTTAAAAAAAGAATGACAGTAAGGACACCTCTTCCTGGTGTAGCACTGTGGATTAATGCACTGGACCACAAAGTGGGTTCGAACCACAAGGTCGGCAGTTCAAACTTACCGCTATGGGTCGGAACCGACTCGACAGCAGTTAACAACAGCAACAACATGGACACCACTTCAATTAATTATAAATGATAAGCTTAGTGTGAAGGGTAAATATTAGGTCTTTGATCTGTCTACAAGATAATATTGTCTAGGATTCCTCTGCATTTGCCAAGTGCACGATAGAATGTGGACTCCTATGAGCAGGCGCATGAGGATGTTGCATGTAGGAGGTCTAACCGATGAAGGCTGCTCTGCAGCAATTTAAATGAAAGCAGCAGAGAGTGGGGCGGGGTTCGATGGAAAGGTACGGAGAGAGGGAAGAAGCTCTGGGAATGCACAGCTTCTGGGTCTGCTTTGATTTTTCACCATCTTTATGTGTAAAATACATTCACTGCTTCAAGTACTCTGCTGAGTTTATAGTTGTTGTTGTTAAGTGCCTTCGGGTCACTCTGACTCGTAGTGACCCTATAGACTTTACAGTTGAGAGGGTTTCCAAGGAGTGACTGGTGGGTTTGAACTACTTACCTTGTGATTTAGCAGTCCAGTGCTTATCCTACAGCGCCACACCAGAAGTCTACGGTTAGGAATGAAAAATAGGTATAAGCTACACTTTCATTAATGCCTCCCAGCAGATGTATCGGAGCCCTAGTGATACTGTGGATTAGGCATTAGGCTGCCAACCATGAGCTCTGCAGTTCAAACCCACCAGCCGCTCCACAGGAGGAAGACCAGACTGTCTGCTCCCATAACTAGTCACAGTCTCAGAAACCCTCTCCAGGGTCTCTAGGAGTCCAAATTGACCCCATGATAGTGAGGGGTGTGTTGTGTTGTGTTTTGTGGGGATCTCTATGAGTGTTCCTCTGGAGTCCTGATGTGGCACTGTGTGTTAATGTGTTGGAATGAAAAGTCATTTGAATCGCTAGATCAGTGGTTCAAGCTCACTAGCTGCGACTCATAAACCCTATACAGAGTCATTATGGGTCAGAACCGACTCGAAGGCACTTAACAACAATAATATAGACGTTGTGTTTATATGTATATAAATAATTTCTTATTTTTTCTTACCACTTATATATATACTATATAAGTTAACGTATGGTGCTGTAGGATAAGCACTCGACCACAAAGTCAGTTTGAACCATGAGGTTGGAGGTTCAAACTCATCAGCCACTCCTCAGAAACCCTATACAGACAGGGTGGCTATGAGTCGGAACTGACTCAATGGCCCTTAACAACAACAACATATATATATGTGTATATGTGTGTATATATGTATGTGTGTATATATATGTATATGTGTGTACACATGTATGCATATGTGTGTATATATGTATATATGTGTGTTTGTGTGAATATATTGAAACTGATATAGGTATAAAATGGTATACATAGGTTTACCAACAACTTTACCAGAGAAATTCACATAAAATAAGAAAAAGCGCTTTAAAAAAGAAAGAAAGTAAAGTAATGTCATTTATTGAACACTTACTATGTGGAGATTCTTGTCTGCACAAGACTGAGAGAGGGACTGAGAGTCACCCTATAGCCACAATTTGGATCCCATGGTCTGCTTGACCCCAACTAGGTCTATCTGATTTCTGACCCCATGCTCTTAGCCATTTCTTTGCTGATTCATGGACAACACGAACATACATTTTTTTCCCCTGGGACTTCTTTGAGAACAAAATTTCAGAATCTTGAGATTCCAAGCATTGGTTCTAAAGTGTCCTGGAGTTCAAGAATGTCTGGCGTGTGGCACGGTTGTCACGCTTTCAGCTGCTTGTCGATGTGATTTTTATTAATTGTGCATGGTTGCATAGCAATGTCGCTAGACCATAAACTGCCTTAGAGAAGAGTGAAATTAGAGTAATACTGGCAGCTTCTTCTAAAACAATAACAGAATAACATGTGGGAATACAGCGTGCTTATTATGTGATACAGGACGAAATTATAAATTATTATGGCATGCAGTGGAGAACAGAGTACAATTTTAAGTTTTAGAGGGGAAAAAGACAGTAAATTTCTCCTTCACCCCACCCCACTGCTGTGCTTGCCAACACGTAGGTCATGGAAGCAGACAAGCAATGGGAATGCATGTTCGCTGCCAAATCACCGCGAGCTGGGGCCTCCACTTCAGCTGTAGCCTGCTCTCAGGCCATCAGTTTTGATCAATGGCCCTTGCTTGTTGAAACTTGGCTTCTCCTTCCACACTCTCATATGGCACCCTCTTATCCCCACCACCCTATCACAGCACCAAGTGATGAGCTTGGCATCCTCCCACCTCCCTTATCTCTGCTGGTTCTGTGCCATAATCCCATTTTTATGGGATTCACATACTTAGCACTTTTACTGCCCTCAACACACCTTCAGTGCACAGACTTCCTAGATGCCTTCTGTATCTCTCCCAGAAACACCGCCCCAGGTCCAGGCTTCCTCACCAAGATTTACCAGCATTCAGGACAACCAGTATCCGTGATGATGACCTTCCTCCCACTCTGGTAGCCCAGTTCCCCAGGCTCATTACCTCCAGACTCCCTGCCCTTGACATGGTGACCCCTTCGATTTTCCCATTATTTAACACAAAGACTACTACGTCTGCTCTTCCATCCCATTCCTGTCTACTTAATGCCTCACCCTGGTCTCCTGCTCTTACATATCTCTCTATTGTCCCCAAACTTTCTGCCCATGCATTAGAAGCCAGTCCTCTTCTCTGGCAGACCCTAATCACTCACATAACCAATTGTATTGCCAGATACGTATGCTCTTTCTTAACCCACTGCCTTGATTTCACTGAC